ACTTTATTGTAATCCTCTTTCTTCGCCACAATCAAGCATCAAATATTAGCAAGAGCATGAAGTACTCTAGCAATCACAACACTATACGAGCGCCCTATCACTGAACCACCATGCAACAGTCACAATATACATGTACTATCATGTGAGCCCTCTATCACTGAACCACCGGCAATCACAACCGTATGCCAGCCCTCTATCACTGAACCACCGGCAATCACAACAATATGCCAGCACTCTATCACGGAACCACCAACATTCCCCAGCACTATATGCGAGCACTCTACCACTGAACCACCAGAGCTGTCCCAGCACTATGCGAGCGCCCGCACGTAGATGTGCTGAGGTCACCAGGGTCAGACCAGGCTTTTGCCCACTCTATTATCTCCCTTTGCCCGTCACAGGTCGGTACAGTTCTCTGACGTCATCCACGCCTGCTTTATCTGGCCGCGTACCGCACCTCCTCATTCCTTCTCTTTCATTTTCTCTGAGGCCTGTGTAAACCTACACCCTACACCACGTCAGCCCCTTCCCCACCACCCCTTCTCTTTCTCTCTCTCTATATATATATCTCTCTCTCTCTGTCCCTGTCTCTGTCTCTCTGTCTCTCTCTCTGTCTCTCTCTCTCTGTCTCTCTCTCTCTCTCTCTCTCTCTCTCTCTCTCTCTCTCTCTCTCTCTCTTGCTCTCCTCTCCCCCCCTCTCTCTCTTTTCGCTATTTCTCTCTCTCCTTCCCACCTTTTCTCCCTCCCTTCCTCTCGCTAATTGCCATGCCCCTTGAAGTTAAAATCACTGAGCTCTTGGAACAAGTCTTGCATGTAAGTTGACAATATCACGACTAGATGGAAAGAATGAAGTATGAGGTCCTCCGCACGACAAACGGTTTCTAGTTATTTCCAGCTCCTCCCTCCCCCCTTTTCTACATACACCCACTAAAATCAAAGACCATATTATAGTTGTTGGGTTTTTTTTATAGAGGCAGCAGCCATCCGTCTAGGTGCTGCTTTATCCTATAGAATAATACTATTATTTTTTATGTTAGAATCTAAATGCGTCTTTGGCTCATGATGTCACGACAATCTACTTAAGGTACACAACGAGGGGAGACCCCGGACATGCCTAGCAGCAGGTCAAGTAAGTTCTGAAAGGAGGGCCCAAGTTTACCAGAGACAGCTGAGGAGGTGTACATCAGCGATAACTATCATCAATGTTGATGCCTACTAGTAACAAGTATGGGCTGTGATAAACGTCAAACACTGATTGGTAGGCTATTTAAAGGCTTGAATAACAAATAGATAAACAGTTTATGACATTACGTAAGAAAAATGTTGAATTGAGTGACAGCAGTAACCTACAGTAGTATATAGGCCTACACACACACACACACACACACACACACACATGCACACACACACAAACACACACAAACACAGGCGCTCATCTATCCATCTATTTATCTATTTATTTATCTATATCTATCTGTCTATCTGTCTGTCGGTCAATATATTAACCCCCCCCCCTCCATTTTTCTCTCTCCCTCCACCCCCTCTCTCTCTCTCTCTCTCTCTCTCTCTCTCTCTCTCTCTCTCTCTCTCTCTCTCTCTCTCTCTCTCTCTCTCTCTCTCTCTCTCTCTCTCTCTCTCTCTCTCTCTCTCTCTCTCTTGTATACCTATAGTCTAGGCTACATGGGCATATAGGCCTATGCAAACACTGGTATAATATGGGAGTTAAACTTTGTGTGTATGTAGGCCCAAGTGCAAATAAATCTGTAATTAATATAGGCATGTAAATGTATCTGTGTTTGTATATATATATATATATATATATATATATATATATATATATATATATATATATATATATATATATATATATTATATGTTTGTGTGTGGGGGGGGGGGTTGTTTTGGGGTGTGCATGTGCATGTGCAGGCTATGTGTGAGCGCATGCATGTGTGTTTGACAGAGAGGGTGCTATGTGTGTGTTCGTCTTTCGGTGTGTGGGTGTATGTGTGTCTTTGAGTGTGCGTGTGGCTGGGTGTGTGTAAGTGATAGAGAGAGTGCGTGTGCGTGTGTGAGTGTGTGTGTGTGTGTGTGTGTGTGTGCGTGTGTGTGTGTGTATGTGTGTGTGTGCATGCTTGCGTGCGTGTGTGTGTGTGTGTGTGTGTGTTTGTGTGTGTGTGTGTGTGTGTGTTTCGGTCATGACAATGAAACTGACACCAGAGATAAAATGAACACGATGTGGAAATGAAAAAATGATTCATTCTTTTCCCCTAATCAACCTATGTTCAGACGTACGAGATGAACTGTGTTATCTCCCGAGCACATGTGTTATCATGACATGGTAACAGTAACCGTCAGCAACGACCACCATCTCTCCCCGACTGAAAGCAACAGCACGTGAGCGCCCTATGACAATGTGGTGGGCACGTGACACCTTGTCTGGTCTCTAAAGGCAGGAAAAGATTTCTATTGCGCACTGATAACAGTAATACAGAATCGCAACTTCTCACCCATTCTTTGTTACTGTTACAATGATCACAAGTTTAATTGTAGCAATCCCACTACGCCGAGGAAGGAATATTCAGGGGACGTAAACATGACAGAAACTAACAGATGTTATAACCCTTTGTTGGTTCCCCTGTTAATGTCTACGCGTCAGATCACATGATCATAGATAGCGGAAGACATTTTGTCGGCTTTCACAGAGGCCCACCATAATAACGCTGTGGAAGAAGATACCATAGCGGGATTTCGGTGATGAGCAGTTCTTAAGTTAATCCAGCAATGGCGCTTAGAAAAGTCAAGGGAACTCTTGAACGAGTTCTTGACAAGAATTTGCAGGATCTCGTGAGGGGCATCCGGAATCACAAGGAAAACGAGGTGCTTATTGTTGACATATAACCTATTACCGATATGTAGTGAGAAAGTTGACGCCCCCGCCCATATTTGTGTTATCGTGTCAATGTCTGGCAGGCATGCGATGCCCGAACATTTTCAAATTTTTTAGATGGCCGATTATCAAAGCTGAATGGAGCATGATCTGGACACATATTTCTTTATTAACATGTATACCTAATAGGTGTATTTGCCATTTGCATTTAAATTTGTCATCTTGCATCTGTTCCAGTTCAGATATAAGCTTGAAACTCATGGATGGATGAATGGGAATGGGATCATTTACAATAGTTTTTAGTTTCCTCTAAGAGAAGAAATGAAATTATATTTTTCACAGTTGCACGATTGTATCTAAAATGAGTGATTGAAAAACCTAGTTTTCTATTTGCTTCCGAGGCTGATGATCCAATGGTGGTGGTAGTACTGGTGACTGGTACTACGGTAGTGGCAGTGGTAGCGAGATTATCTTGTCTAGATCTAGAACTAGAATCTAGATTCTAGATCTATTTCCCTGTTATCAATGAATATATGTGATTAACTAATACTGTGTGAGTATAAATTCTTATGAAAATGAATGTATATGAGCGTTACAGAAAATTTTTTTCCATAGATTCTAGATCTAGATCTAGATATAGATCTAGATCTAGATCTAGACATCTAGGTCCTTATCCAGTGAAGAGTCGTTTTGCTGCTTTCTCAAATCGATGACATGACATGGGCCTGCCTAATTAACTAAGTATAAAGATCTATTCTATAATGACACATTATATGCTCAATTATACACACATGACATATAGTAGGCCCATAGTTCTAAGTTGTTAGTGAAAGGCCACCTCTATTCTCACCCCGGGTGAGAATAGCGCAGGCGATTCTTTTGGCTATTCTCACCCGGTGTGCGTTCACCGTTATATAGCCTAGATCTAGGCCAACCAATTTTGCGTTCACCCTGAACCACAGAATTCTACACTGTGATAACATAAAAATTGTAGAATTCTGTGCCGTGAACAAACGTTCCATTACTACTGTTAGCCTTTTAAAAGCGTACAATTTTGTCTGTGGGCGCAGTGGAGAGAGAGAGAGAGGAGTAGCGCGAGAACTTCCGGGCAAAACAAAATGGCGACCCGCGTAGTTCGGCTCGATTCGAAAAGTTAAATAGCCGTAGCATCTTTGTAGACGACCAAATTAATTTACTTTTGTGTTTTAACATCATTTTTTAACTTTGTTTTGGTCAATTTGATTGTCCACACGGATAGACAGTATTCAGAAAGAGACAGAGAGAAGAGGGGAGGAGTAGATCTTGTGAGAATTTCCGGGCAAAACAAAATGGCGACCCGCGTAGTTCGGCTCGATTCGAAAAGTGAAATAGCCATGGCATCTTTGTAGACGATCAAAGTAGCCTACCTTTGTGCTATAACGTAATTTTTTCTTTGCTTTTATCCATTTGATCCTCCACACGGATAGAAAATATTCAGAAATTAATAAGAAAAACAGGTCTTGTTTCACACCGGGTGAGAATAGCCTACGGTGGCAAGTCCCACCCGGGGTGAGAGGTCAATCGTATTTTTATTCTGAACTCACCCCGGGTGAGGATAGCCACTTCCTTAGTGAAAATGAATTCCGTAGTTGAGAGCAATAATGTAACGCTCATTGTAAGTTGTATTGGGGAGATGTAATATATTCCCTCTGCTCTATTTATGGAGACCAGAAATCAATTTGTTAGGTTTTTTTTAGTAGAGGTCTTTGAAATGTGCCTGATCTGTGGAATTTCGAGTCCGCTGAACCCTGTCATAATTTTAAATTTTTAATCCTTTAACTCAGGGTTTTTTTTACTAATTGCAGTGACTTTCTAAGAGTACAATGAAATTTGTTTTAAACTCGATAATGATGGTGTAGCCTATTAGATTAACCTTGACGCTTGATCCTGTATTTGAAGTTAAATGGCCCTTTATTTGATTTTAATTGCTTTTGTTTAAAAATGCTGTTTTGCTAAATATTTTGTTGCTTTTTCCTCAGAGCAAATATATAGCAGAGTGTATCGATGAAATCAAACAGGAACTGAAACAAGAAAATTTGGCCATCAAAGCCAATGCTGTCAACAAGTTGACCTATGTAAGTTAAATGTTTCTTACTCTAGCGTTTAGTTACATAAGATGTGTTTGTTGAGTCAGGTACATCAGTGACATGGGTTATGGTTGCCCCTTGGTGTGTGATGATTATTTAGTCAGCACTAGGGTGTCCTTTAAGGATTAAAGAGAGACGTGTCTGCAAAAGGTTTTAGCTTTGAATGTGCATACTATGCAGAAAAGAAAACTTTTTCCTTGGATGAATGAGTTATTGCTTAATTTACTCAGTATTGTTTTTAACTTTAGCAATCCTTGATTGAAAGTTGCCTTAGTCTTTAGTATGAGTCTGTCACATGAACTTAAAGAGAAAAAAGACTTGCCAAATGGCTTATGATGGATTGATATATTTGTGTTTTCAGCTCCAAATGCTTGGCTATGACATCAGCTGGGCAGCCTTCAACATCATTGAAGTGATGAGCTCTACCAAGTTCACCTTCAAGGTAACAAGTTATCCCACGATTATACTAGATTTTAAATTATGATTTGACGGGTTTTCTCAATGGGGACAGTTGGGTTTTTGTTGCCAAAAATAACTCGCTACTGTCTCTCTGTTGTGAACTGCCAGTCGCGCTCCGGATTTACCAGTCGCGCACTGGATTTACCAGTCGCGCACGATGTAACGTCGCATCGCGCATAAGGAGACACTTCTGTCGCTTCTGTCGCACGCGACTGAAAATTTGGGCACGACGTAGTCACGCATAAGGATACACACTTCGTGACTGTCGCGTGTGACGTTACGTCGCGTCGCGCATAAGGATACATAGTCTTAGTCTATAGCCTCATAAACTTTTGGCCCAGTGGAACTCTAACAGTTTTCTAACCAATGTTCTTTTTGAATCCTCTAAAATGTTTGTTATCTCACATATTATACAGTGGAGTCCTATTAAACTGATCATGGTTAATCCAAATACAACGATAAACTAAAAGAAGTTGAAGAAGAATCTTTCACTTTTTTTGGGGGGGGGGGGGGGGTCGCTTTTCGAGCAATCTCTCTTAACTGAAAACACAGCTAAATCGAAAGAAATCTGGCAATCCCGTAGATTTCAGATTAAGTGTATTCCACTGCATATGAAATCAAAGTTATAGCTCGTTCTTCCTCCTTTTTACTCATGCTGTAGTGAATTCAATAACTCATTGGTAACCCCCACCCCCTATTGTGCCCCCCTTCCCACTCGACACGGAAAAAAAATTTGTGGGCTTTCCACCATTGTTACAATCAACAATTAACATGAAAAACAAGTTTGTTAAATTTAAATTACTCAGTCTTAAAATGATTGAAGAAGGTGTTAATATGTACTGAAGGAGCAATCTCCATTGCCCTCATTATGGCTGTGCATGGTTATGAAGATAAAATGGGAGGGATAGTTCCCAAGTTCAGTATTTACTTGGACTTATTATCATGGGAACAGCATCTTTCTTATGCTCAGAAAGCACTAAAATCTGTGCTTTTCATGTTTGTTCTTTTTCTGTCAAGTGAATCTAAAAGTTCTATGAATTTATTTCGTTTCCAACACAGTGATATAAAACGTATTATTTGAATGTCTGTTTCCAAGTAATTCAAGGGGAACACTGTTAAGTGCTGCTTCTGTAATTAACCTATGCCTTCTATGTTTCTGCAGCGTATTGGATATTTGGCAGCCTCGCAGTCGTTCCACGAGGAGACAGATGTTCTCATGCTGACTACAAACATGATTCGCAAGGTGAGTAGAGCTAAAGGCCTTTATTTGTTGAATATTGTGATAGTTAGGTCTTTTTTTTCGTCTTCTGTCTTTCTGAATGGGGAAAGTGAGACACAAGGTAGCTCTCAGAGATGGTGTTACTGCTAGTTTTATTGGTTTTTGTTTTTTTCTGTCTGGGAGTGGAAAGTGTACAGCATCTCTGTGAGAGCATTTTGCTAGTCATTCCTCTGTCCAGAGAAAGGGGATATTTTTCTCTGTCTCAAATTTTGTTTCTGAATTGTAGCTGCAGGAACACACTTGTGAGCATAGATGGTTTGCTGGTTTCGTTCTGTTTTGAGGATTTTCTTCTTTTGTTTTTATTTTTTTTAACGATCTGTACCTAGAACTCTGTATTCTGTTCCAAAGTGGCTTGGGGTTTTTATCACTTGTACTTTGAGCTGTTCTGGCTTTTGGTATGATTAACCTGGGCTGTCACAGTGTAAAATTAGCTAGATGTACATTGTAATGTGTTCGTATCACTATACTCTTTGATGTTGAATGTGTTGTTTTTGTTTTGTTTTTATTTATTACCTAAGAAACATTTTTGCAAGATAGAACATTGATCTGACTTTTGCATCACTCTTTGCCTGTCTGTTGCTGATTCATCGTAACTTTCTTTGTGCATGCATGTCCCTACGTTCTTATTCTGTATATGATATCAAACTATTTAAGAGATTGGGTATTGGAGGTTTCTGAATGTGAAGGAGCAAAATAATGTTCACTCCCTATTCACTCCTTCATTTCATTGGAATGGTTTTAGGGCTACTGATTTTCCAGTTGGCATATATATATATAGGTGACCTTTTTCCATCTTTGACCTCAGAACTGGGGAATGTTGTTTCATCATTTTATTGTTGCAAACCTTTGAGACACAAGTGTGGTGTCACTCAAAAAAAAAAAAATTGTGTCACATGAAAGTATGGTGAAGGACACGAGTGTGGTGTTTGACAGAGACGAGAGTGTCTCATTGTCTGGGTGGTTAAGTATGGGCATCATCATATGGGGCCTCATTTTATGTAAATAACTCACATGTAAAAAAATGTTGGTATTCCTCATGACAACTTTGCCTGTTGTTTTAGAGCATCTATTCGTATTATAGTTAGAGCTCTTCTCTGTACTGTCACATTATCATGAAAGCTAAAATAATAATGTATTGAGAATACGCTGTGTATTGATGTGTTTGTGACAGTGGTTATGTAAAGAAAATGTGGGAATAGTTGGAATGTGGACTTGAGCTTGATGAGTTTATAAAAGATTATGATCTATAAAAAAGTAAATGACAAGAGTGTCATTATCTCGCTTCGATAGGCATTATATTAATGTAATTTGCCTCTTCACTTGTTGTTCCTTAGGAACTGGTAAGTGTGTTGTTTGAGCCAGAGGTAACTGCGAAGACCCTGTTAATCTACATGTATCTGTGGGCTCCTTGATGGATATTGACAATCAGGTTTCATGGATATGGCATGCTGTTTTATCTGTCTGGTAGCGTCTTGACTCACCGGAGCATGCTCCTTTCTGTCGCAGTGGTGGGGACGAGTGGAAGAGCTTTTGTAGAAGAGAGGGGATGTGACTCTGTAGAGATGCTTTTGGTTGCGGGAGATATTGAAACCCCTCATTGTTTTTTTCTTGTATTTCTTCGCACATTTGACACACAGACAAACGCCTCAAAAATGAAATCATCTGCCATGTAATAGATAACGTATAATTGTATTTTGAAAGAGAAGGAAGGAATGTTGGCAGCAGGAAAAAAAAAGAAAAAAATGTAGGAATCTATTTACATTATTTCTGTTATCTAGTTAATGTCCTCTCCTCGGGAAAGCTCATCTTCCGTGTATCATGCTGGTAAGGTTTTTTCAGAAAACCACAATTCCCGACCAGTGTCTGTGGTGTAATGGGTAGGGTCTTTGCGTCGCATGCAGAAGACATCACTTCAGTTCTCAGCAGGGGAAAGTTACGTTGGTGCTGAACCTCCCTCAGCTGAGCTTGGCCCTTCCAGGCCAGGTTGACCCTTGGAGCAAGAGTAAAAGTAGCCTGACTCCTAAATAGTTTAAATTCTGCTGATGGAGGAGTAAAATATCCAAATTAAATCACTATTCCTCTTATTGTTTGCACCAGTGTCTGAACTCCCAAGCTGGGAGGAGCATTACCTAGAACTGTCTGTGTGTGTCTCTGTGTACAAGCCCTTCTGATCCACTTCTTTGTTCCCACAAGCTCCCCCCTTTTCTTTTCTCTTGTCAGTATGTTACTTTTCACATTTTTTTTCTTTTCAAAGCAATGTCCATACCCGTTTCTTTTTTGTTGACTTGACCAGCAGTTTAAATCTGTAGTAAAGCTGTTTGTGTAGTAGTGATTGGTAATTATGAGTGGACAAAGTCTGTTAAGATGACATATATATAGAGTAATGGTGTAAAGTTGGGTGTAAGCCTGTGCTGATGAATGGTTGGAGTGATAGTAAACAGTTATGCATGTCTGAGTGTGAGTGAGTTTGCCTCTATAAATGTACTGTAGTAATGTATGAGTGGGTCGGTGTGTTATAATGCCTTACAGTAGAATGTATGAGTATGGATGGGTTCTTTTTGTAGTATATTGAAGAAATAGAAATCCTCACTGGATTTTGTTTGGGATTTTTGCGTCTGAAATTAAGGGCATCAGAGGATGAAGAAACTCATGAAAAAACTGCTATGAGTCATTTTTTGGTTCTATTATTTTGATGAATTTTTTCCTTCAAGTGTATCCAAGTTTTATTTCGCACCGTTTATTCAGTTTCTCTGTTGTATGACATGGTAATCATTCCTGAGACTGTCTCGCCTCACCGATGTGTCTTGAAGCACTGCTGATCCTGTGGCTAGTCTTGATGAGTGTTAGAGGACACAAACTGACCACACACTGACCTGAATACACCCACACACACACACACCCACACACACACACACATACACACTCACATGCACACACACCAGGGGTTCAGGACTGCTGGGGATGAATAAAGTTGCAGAATGGCAGTCTAGTTCGTGGGTGAAGTAGGTCATGGTCTGAATCTATTGACTTTTCATAACACAAACGACACAGAATTTGATCTGTGGACTCTTTGTGTAGTAAATTGGTAGAGGGTTCTTCTTTTCCCCATAGTTCCAGTTTCTGATACATAAGGCACAGGGGTTCTAGATCTAGATCCCTTGAAACTGGAGAAAAGTTCAGAGTAAATTTTTTCAAGAGCGGTTTTTTGTTTTTTTTTCAAAACTTGGTTCAGTCTACTTTTGAGGTAATCGATTTTTTTGACTGGAGTTGAGGCCATCATTATCACATCTACAATAGGTAAAATTATAATTTTTTAAACCCTGCTCAATCCGTCACATTTGTGACATGAAAAGATGACTGTTTTTGCAAAACCCACTCAATCGTTTAAAAAGTCACTGTGAACATCTTTTTTTTAGATCTTTTCCCATCGAAAACTGGTTTTGCCATAGTGCCATAAAACCTCAACAAAACAGACAACAAAAGGTTACCCAGAAATGCTTCTGTGGCTGCCCTACATAAAGCACAATGTGTTCTGTGTGACTCTTCTGACCCAGGACATCTGAGCCCACAGAAGCTTGATCAGTCCATTGAATTGAGCTGGTTTTGATGATCTCATTTTCTGCAAGGCTGCATCTCACCGTTTTCACTCCGGGATTTTAAAAAAGGACATTTGTATATGTAACTGGAGGATATGCATATACGCATTTACCGTCAAGGAAGCAGTAGCCTTTATGCAAAAATTGGAAAAACGTTTTTGGTCAATACCTCGAAACATGTGAAGAAAGTGCACTGAACGGAGATAGGAAAAAACTCTCTTCGTTTATTATTGGCTGTAACAATGTTTGTTCCTGCATTCTGTTTTCATTTTTTTTCTTTACCTTAAGCTGTTCCTTTCTGTGTTCGTACGTCTACGTGCGTGCTGCATGTTCCTGTTAAGTAAAATTTTTGTCATGATTTTATTCTGACTTGCTGCCTGCTTCTGTGCCTGTACCTGTATCATGTTGGCTTTGTTTTTCAGAATTCTGTTCCTTTAATTAAGGGTTCCTGTTTGTAGAGATAAACACAGTGGCTGTAGGGTGAGGGACGACTGGGGGGATGGGACTCTAGGAGGAGTACTAGTCTCAGGTCTGATGGTGTCAATGTGCTTCTCTAATACTCAAAAGAACTAACAAACAAATCTCTCTGTCCCCTCTCTCTTTCTCCCTCTCTCCTTTTCTCCCTTCCTCCCTTCATCCATCTGTCCACCCATCCATCCATCCATCTATATTTGTCTGTCTGTCTATTTGTCTGTCTATTTGTCTGTCTGCCTGCCTGTCTATCTATCTCCTCCCCTCCCCCCCCTCTCCCTGTCTTTGTGTTTCTGCCCCAGTAGTCCTTCCCTTGGCGAGTAGTTCTGATGTATTGTCTCATGAATCTTTATGTGACAGCCATATATTGTGTGTAGCGGGTGTGTCTGATAATGATAGATGTGTCATTTGCTCGCTTGGTATCACTCTAAAGAACAGTATGAATGACCCTGGTTGGATTTTCCATTATTAGCTCATTGTTGCTTGTCATGTGGGTTTTTCATTCTTCCTCTTTTAAATGTTGCTATTGTCCAATTCTTTTCCCTAATGGAACATGGTTGTCATAGTGTGTGACCTCACAGTAAACTTTGACTTGGCTACACTGCTGCTTACTGCACTAGCTTTGCCTAAGCCAAGTAGTGAAGTTATCATTATCATCTATGTACTAGCTCCACAGTCCTGACTTTACTTGTGGGGTGTTGGAGGGTGCCTTTGGCGGGTCTTACTTCTTTGCTTTCCTGCGTTTTGTCTGTCTATCATGGCTTGTCCTCAGCAGTAAGTGAGCATTGTTCTGTGAATGTGTGCTTCTCTTTACTTAGACTTATTTAACATGCAGGTACAATTTAGTCATCCTGGAGAGGGGGGGGGGGGGGGGCTTTCGAATAATATGCTGGGAGAAGAAAAAAATATATAGCCAAACTTGTTCTAGGAACCACCTGTTCAAGACAACCACCTGTACAAATGACTACTTCTGACTTCCACGCTGTATTTTTAAAATATTGCAACCACATTGATGTGGTCCAAGGCGACCACCTGTCCAGGACAACACTTTTCTCCTCAACAATAGGTGGTCATATTGGGCAGGTGAGACTGTACATCTGGTGCTGAGGTCAAACCCCCAACCTTTTGGTGCAGGTTTTGTCATGCCTGATGACACGGAATTTGTCTCTTTTGGGATGGCGTCAGTAGCCGGGTGGTTAGGCTACGGGGTCCGTGATAGTGAGATTGTGGGTTCGGGGGTTAGTAGAGCCTCAGCTTAGTCGGATGTTGTGTCCTTGGGAAAGGCACTTTACACAAATTTCCCATTTGTCTCGGTTCTTTCGGAGATGGACGTTTAACTTGGGAGGTCTCACCTCTTAAGTAACGTAAAAATGTTGACAAGGGTGTTAATCCTATATCGTTTCACCATTTTTTGTCTCTTTGGGAAGCTTTTTGGTTGTAGAAGTGTGTGTGGTCGTGTCTGTGACTGGCTTAAGTAGTGTTGATGTTGGGTGATTGGCTTTGGTTTGAATCTGGGTCCTAGTGAGTCCTGAGGGTTCCTCCCACTGGATTTCTGTCTGTCTTTTGAATCTACAATTAGTATATATACATCTGATCTCCCCTTGCCAAGGAATTGTAGCAATGTCACTCAGCTGTATGGATAAAAATGTCAGGGCTACCATTGAGTTGTGGCAATGTTACTGGTCCTTCTAAAAGTAAACCCCAGTTATGTAGCAAAAGGTTTCTACTTTCCATGGAGTTATGGCAAGGCCACTTATTATCAAACCTATATTTTTTCATCTATTTATGTAGATGAAGGTATCTGACTGTCGTGGACATATAGCCATGTAGCTGATCAATCCCACATTACTCTCCCAGCTATGTAGTCAAAGTCTGGGTTAAAAAGCAGGGCACGTCTTTGCCAGGGTTTTTTGCTTCATTTTGCCTCTCGGCTCTAATTCTTTTTTCTTTAAATTACATTTCCACTTTTTGTTTCCCCACCTTCTAATTTCTTTCTTGTTTTCATTATTTCTTTCCCATTTGTTTTGGGGGGTTTTCTTTCTATTTTCTTAGATTGTCCATCTTGAATTGAAATTGTTTGGTAATGTTCTTTTTTAGTTCAACCTCTGTAGTTTTGTACATTAATGACACGACAGAACAGAGGGAGTCATTTTTTTTATTCAGCTACCCCTATATTATCTATAATCTTTAACTAGAAAACTTCTGATAGAGTTGCTTTGCGTCTGATAACTGATTACTTAATTTTCTAAATTGTTCTCTTTTTTTTGTTACATTATGTATTACCCTTTGTTTTTCGTGGGCGGTTGGCGGGTGCTCTGGTGTGATCTGGTTCTTCTTTCCTATCAAACATCTATTGTCCTTATCTCCCCTTCTTTTTTTTATGTTTGTTACTCTCTTGTAACATCTCTAATCTTCTGGCGCTCATATGACCTTATGCATTTGCGAGCGCCGTAAAACCTCTACTAAAAATGAACTTTGTTTTTGGGAGTGTCTGTGATGTGACAAAATACGTTAAGTTTTAGAGCTCTGCGGCGAGTTTCTTCTGACCATGGTAAGAGACCAGCATCTGTGGTGTAGTGGTTAATTTCTTCGCTTTGCATGCGGAAGATCTGAGTTTGTTTTCCAACTGGGGAAGTTTGTTTTATCAAGTATTTCGTCTGTCTACTTGGATGCTGTATGGCAGGGTAGAGGCAGCTGGGCATGTAAAGAATCGTAATTTTGTCAAATGGGGGTGTAAAATATTTCCAGAGACTGGTTTGAGCTGTAAACTGTTCACCTATCAGCCAGGCTGCGGGCAGGGAAAGTCAGTGTCAGATTTTTTGCTGGTCAAAAATTCCTACCAAACTTATTTCTTGTGTAAAAAATTTTACTTTTTAGTTTTCCTATCCTGTAGATGCTGTGGCTCTCTGTTTATCAACAAAAGATGATAGCTAGCCACATGTCCATGTCAGGAGGTCCGTGTTGCAATGTTATCTGTCTATTACCGAGGAGGAGTATAATAGCGTACACTTATCCAGTACAATGGACTGTTTACATTTAGCAATATCGTGCACACTCACAGTATGCTACACCTCAACATCTTAATCGAGAGTTAGGTAGTCAATACCAGCTGATAAGATGATTTACAATCACGTGCTCAAGTGTTTGGTTTTGTTTTTCTTCCCTTTAAAAGGCCCCCAGTAAGTGTTTGTGTGATTGATAAAACTGTTTTGCTTTTGTGGGTCTTGTAGATAACTGTTACTGAAGAATGTGGAAGGAACTGGGGTTGTTTTCTTCGAGAGAAACTCAAAGCATGGAGGTGGAGAATGTTATATTAGCTGATGGGGAGGAGGGCACTAGGTTGACTCTTTGGAGATGTGGGAGAGGGGAGAGGAGGGTGCCATATCCTATGGGAACTTAGTTTTAGTATTGACTTTTCCAATGTATGTTTTTTAATATTTTACCACATATTGAGATAGATGAACGGGTGGTTGGAGGGTGCCACTGGTAGGTCCTTCTTCTTTACTTTCCCTCTGTTGTTCTGTATGTTTGTCTTACTTTTTTCCTGCTCTAAATGAGCATCATTGTGTCCCACGTGCTTCTCTTTACTCAAACAAACAAAAATGAAATACTGGACTCCCTTTGACCACATGTATCTAATAATAGTTTTGTAGCAACAGAGAATTTTTACCTTAGGACTCCTAAGGATGTTCCAGACTCTCTTTCTGTAGAGTTTCCCAATTCTTTGACCTATGACTTAGAACCTTTTTTTTACGTTTTATTTACCTAGTTTTGCCGTTCCTCTTGTGAAAACGAGGGAACCACGTCACTATGGATGTGTGTTCTCATACTCTCGTAGAGCTGTACTTTAAGGGTTTAAATGAGAAATATGAAAAGTGATTTCATATATTTTTACCATGACAGTTTATGTTACAATGATATCATTTTTGTTTGATTGTAAAGTCCACTAAGATGGAAGGTTTCATACTGTTTTTAGGTTACCCTCAACCAAATATTTTCAGTGTTTTAGAGCAGAACTTTTGATATTATGTCTGTACTTTGTTGACTGTTTTCCTCCGTCTCTCTCTCTCTCTCTCTCTCTCTCTCTCTCTCTCTCTCTCTCTCTCTCTCTCTCTCTCTCTCTCTCTCCCTCTCTCTCCCCCTCTCTCTCTCTCTCCCTCCCTCCCTTCCTCCTTCCCTCCCTCCTTCTCTCTCTCTCTCTCTCTCTCGCTCTCTCTTTCTCTCTCTCTCTCTCTCTCTCTCTCTCGCTCTCTCTTTCTCTCTCTCTCTCTCTCTCTCTCTCTCTCTCTCTCTCTCTCTCTCTCTCTCTCTCTCTCTCTCTCTCTCTCTCTCTCTCTCTCTCTCTCTCTCTCACTGGTAGTAGGAGGAAGACACTGGTAGATCCTTTTTAACTGTCGCTCTATTTTTTAAAATGTGTCTATTTTTTTTTGTTCCACTTTTAAATGGCTCCTATTGTACCAACCAATGTGCCTCTCTTTCACGTAAACTAATCTTTTTTTTCTCTCTGTGCGTCTGTGTGTATACAGGACATGAGCAGTCAGAACATGTATGACTCCGGTGTGGCGCTCAACGGCCTCTCCTGCTTCATCACACCAGACTTGGCTCGTGACCTTGCTAACGACATCATGACCTTGGTGAGTAGGACTCGAAGTAGATTTTTAAATTTTTGTCACATTAACAAGAATGGACGTTCTGTGGAAGCTCAGTTGTGTCTCTCTCATGGTAAAATGTGCGTTCTTGGTTGTTTTTTTTCGTGTGTGGTTGGAGGGTGCCACCAGTAGGTCCTACTTCTTTTCTTTCTTTCGCTCTGTTGTTTCTGCCTGTCTTTCCTTCTTCCCTGCACTAAATGACCATTATTGTGTCAATGTGCTTCTCTTTACTCAAAAGAACAAACGTATGTCATGTCATTTGTTTGCTTGTGTAAATGACATCTTAACTGTGTTTTGCATGTGTGCCCTTGGGAAAGGCACTTTACACGAATTGTCCTCACTTCACCCAGGTGAGAATGGGTACCCGGCCACATAAACAGCGAAAGATCTTGTCTGTTTGTTAGTGTTTTTAGCACCTGTAAATGGCTGCTTGCACTGTATGCTTCCCAGGAAGTTGAGGTTGTTTCAGAATGCTTTCAGGTCTGCTGGGTTAATAGTATAGATTGTGAAGCGCATAGAGCTTGCTGTTGAGCGCGGATTTGCGCTATGCAAATGCTATTATTATTATTATATTAAATGACATTTTGACTTTGTTATGTATATGTATATATCTTGTTTTGCTCATGTAGATGACTTCGTCTCGGCCGTACCTGCGTAAAAAGGCGGTGCTCATAATGTACAAGGTGTTCCTGCAGTTCCCTGAGGCACTACGTCCTGCCTTCCCACGACTCAAGGAGAAGCTGGAGGATCCTGATCCAGGTCAGTGGGAGGCTGGTGGCTGCTCTTAGTTCTAATTTGTCTTGTTCTTTGTGAGTCTACTTTTGCAGAGAGTTGTTCTCAATCTTTTGATCACGGGTGCTCAACCCCTGTCCCTGTGGCGAAAAAGTTCCCCAGCCCCCCCCCCCCCCTGCAGGTGGTAGGATTTTGTCGCTTGTAGGCCCTACTTCTTATCTTCCCTCTATGGTTTTTTTGTCTACGGGTCAGTCATACTCTTTCCCTCTTACAAAGGACCATTATCGTGTTCGTCCATGTGCTTCTTTTTACTCATAAACACTTGTCGTAGACTCTCAAAGCACCATAGAGAGTGCTCACATTTCCTAAAAAATGTTTTAAAATTGAGCTGAGCAATCATAATATTTATTTTTCCCTTCACATGACTGTTTACCTCTTAGTTCCGTGTCGTCCTTCAGTCGTTCAAGGTGGGCCTATTTTGTTACATGGGGTGTTAAAACCACATCCAAATACTGCCAACAGAGAATTTTCTGAAAGCGATGTTTCCCGTGCATTGGTGCGAGGGCCCCTCAAAAGTGTGAGATAAGGAGGTCACATGTGGCCCCTTGACCTGAAAGGGTGAAAACTGTGGCCTAGATAGCGACAGTGATCATTGAGAGAAGTGTCTGCTTTGCTCAAGAGATGGCCTAGACTGACTAACTGTATAGTATTAGTGAGGTTTTTTTTGTTTTTTTTGGGGGGGTCTTCTTTGTTTTGTTTTTGTTGTTGTTGTTGTTTTGGGTTGGGGTTTGTTTGTTGTTGTGTTGTTGTTGTTTTTTTTTGGGGGGGGTGGTACTTTATGAACATTTCAGGAGTCCCAGAAATATGGAATATTTCAGACTTAAATTTCCTTCTGCTAAGACAGTTTATTTACACCTAATGATGCAGACATATTTCCTCTCATTGAAAATTTTTGTTGGATCCTGAGGTCTACTTAGGTCTAGATGCCTTGGCGGTCACAGACAGACAAATGAATTCCTCAGCCACAAAGGCGAGATACAAGATGTAGTTACTAACTCTGTCTCGCCGGAGAGGGAAGACATTTCTCCATGTTTGTGTTCCCATTGTTTGAGCTCGTCACTCGTGGGGCTCTGTAGCTCAGTGGGTATCATACTTTACTATGCTTTTGTACAGTTGACCTTGGTTCGAACCCCCATGAGACCTTTTCTTAAATTGGGTGTTTGAGTTTTTGGCACATCACTGTCTGGGCTCAGTTTTATCAGTGAAAGACGTTTAATTGGCAGGTCCCTCCTCTTACATGACCTCGAAGTGTCCTTCATTGTTTACAGGGGAGGTTAGCACTATTCCTTACCAAATGTGAGACATCGTGGTGAAATCTGGCACTCATAAAAATAACACTTTTATGTCGATTCAAACACGCATTTCAGTGTGGATTTTACTGAAAAACATAGATTAAAGGTACAAGAAATCTAAATATTTATTTTCCAAGGACTCTCAGGCTTTGGAAGTCACCAAACTTTGGTGGTCATTTTCTCACTAATTTGAACTCTGAAACCAGACAGCCCCCACCTCCTTCATTCGTAGATATCTCGACTTCTATGTAAGATGGATGGGTATTTTTTCCCATCTAAAGCTAGACAAATGAACAAGATTTAAGATAATACCAATAACTCCATATGCCCAAAGATTGACCAGCGTTTGATTCCACCGCATGGTGACACAACTACTCCCCAGGTGTCCAATCAGCGGCTGTGAACGTCATTTGTGAGCTGGCTCGGAAAAACCCAAAGAATTATCTCTCCCTGGCCCCTCTCTTCTTCAAACTGATGACAACCTCCACCAACAACTGGGTGCTTATCAAGATCATCAAATTGGTGAGTTGTTGGTGTGTATGTGTGTGTGTATGTGTGCGTGAGAGAGAGAGAGTGAGAGAGAGAGAGAGAGATGTTAAAGTGTGTGGTTACTTCTTTGTTCACTTGTTCATTTTTTTATTTGTCGAAGGTGTTATGATCACATCTGTCAGTGGAAATACATGGTAAAGTGTTAGGGCAGTCTCAAGTCGGACTGTTTGGGGGAGTTGTTTTGTTTGGGGGGTTTTTTTTGGTTCAATTATGCTTTTATTTCAGTGTTTCTATATTTAGCAACATTGCTTTTGTTGTTAACTCTGTTAGTGCCTGATATCAGAATATTAACCATATCTTTATTAATTCTGAATGTAGGATGAAGCATGGTATCAGAATAGGTCAAACCAAATGTTCTTCCCTCAAAGTTGTTATATATATTTTGTAACCTCTGTGCTTCGTTGACTACTGTGCTTTTCAGTTCAGTGCACTGACCCCTCTGGAGCCGAGACTGGGGAAGAAACTGATAGAGCCCCTGACCAATCTCATACACAGGTGAGGACATAGAGGAGAGCTCATAGAATCGACAAGTTCCTAGAAAGTTCAGAAATGTACAAAATGTAATATGTTCCTGACGTGGGCGTTTCTCATATGACAGCTCATGTCTGCTGTGATGTAAGAGACTGGGCATGAAAATTTTACACCTGTCTTTGATAGAAATAAGCCAAGTGGTAGGAGAGTCCAACAATTCTTCATTTGTGATTTGAACCAGGGTCATCCTCATCATAGTTCAGCATGGTACCAAATGAGTTCACCGTGCATCCCTTGGAAATGAGATAATTTGGAGACAGTAGATTAGAAAGATGCATCCAGAATTTTCTCTATTTTCAGAGAGTACTTTACTTCATTGTATTGTGGTTTATATCATAATAATAATTGCATTTATGTAGTGCTCATTCATGCTCTGCAGTATGGTGTATGCATTTAACAACTGTTATTACCCTGGCAGACCCCTGGACGCTCAAAAATATCCTTCCCCTGGCAGCGTACAGTGCAAGCAGCTAATTAAATTCTCCCACACTAAAAAATTGACAAGATCTTTCATTGTCAATAGCCAGGTACCCAACCTCACATAGGAAATGGGGGGGGGGGAATTCTCGTTAAGTGCCTTGCCCAAGGACACAGTGTCAGGCCCCTAAAGTGGTTCGAATGGGTATCTTTTCTATAACATATTAGCCCGACACCCTTTCCACTAGACCACAGACATTTGTTGAGGAGGAATGATCAGACTGTAATTATGAAATTCTGTTGAATGTTTTGTCTTCTACTGAGCTATCTCTTGAGAATTCTCAATTTTCTTACTATGACAGACTCTGTACACCATCACGTTAATGTGTAGACGTTTTAATGTTTGTGATGGGTGGTTGGTAGGTGCTAATGTTGTCTTAATGTTACATTTCCTTGCACTAACTGACTGCTGTGTTGATTGTGTAGTACTTGGGTTTCGAACTAAGAGATGTACAGAAAGTTTATGTCTAACCTGTGTGTGTCTTTGCTGTTTCAGCACATCGGCCATGTCTCTGCTGTATGAGTGCATCAACACTGTGACGGCAGGTGAGTCCCTCCTTCTTCTCTCCCCCCCCCCCCCCCCCCCTTTTTCCCCCCCCCCCCCCCCCCCCCCTCGTCCTTTTTCACCCTCCTCCTCCCTCAGTCCTTTCTGCAATGTTTCTGTAGCCCCCTCTATTTCATCCATCTTTTTTCTGTCCACCATATCAACATGTGTTGATTGTGAAGATCTGCCACAGTGGTAGTAGCTGTAAAGTGTTCTGCTTCTTCTACTTCTTCTTAACATTACAATTGTCACTTTTATTCCTGCAGAAATGTGACCGGTGTTCTGCTGCCTCTGCATAACTTACAATTCAATAGGCATCCCCATGTTGTGTCTTTGGGCCGGCGTATGTGGAAACATAGCGTTTTGCACTTGCCATCAATACGCTCATAGTCAAGCACTGTTCACTGCATGTCTACCTTTACAAGCAACATAAAGTCACTGTCTGTTGTTCAGACACGAGCAGACTTGACTAGGGAACCGTGCACAACACAGCAGTACATAGCAACTGATGGAAGCTGTACTGTACTTGTTGTTGTGCTTCAGCCATAGTGAGCAATGAAGGCTGTTGCTGCAAGTTCAGTGTCTTCTCCTGCAGTGGCGCCTGTCGACACTGGTTGTTCCAGAGGGAGGACCTGTGTCTTCTGTAATTGCTGGCTATAACGTTGGGTGTAAGGGCTGTAGTGTGGAAGGAGGTAACTGTCTTCAGCAGTTTCTCCAAGTCACTGACCTAACAGGTCTGCATGCCTAGTGAACAACTGCTGGACAGTCCTTGCCTCTCAGTTGATGACCTTCAGTCCTTGTCGCTTCTTGATGAGCTTCACATTCAGTTATCGTGTGGTAGGTCAAGATACAATTTTCTTGAGCATCACGTATTCCTCTTTCATTCTGAAAGTCTGCATATGTTGGAGCTCTAAGTTAAATTGTCTACTGCTGTGTCTCCTCTTCTGATCTGACAGACTACGTAATATGTAGAATGTTACGGTTCAGTCCAATGATAAGAGTTGCCTCTTTTTCCTTCTGTGTTGACGTGCCCTCAGCCCAGTTCTCTGACAGGCCAACTACTCTACTTAATTCACTTTTTCTGTGTCAATATTTAAGTATGACCCCGTTGTGAGCGTCGCACTTTTTTGCATCATTTATGTCATTTCTTTGTATGTTTGGAATGCCAATGATCAAAGTGAGTCTTTGGTTAGTTATGCCTTTGCTACGTTCGTCACAATCTTTATGTTAGCAAACTATATTGCAAGGGCTAGGAGTAGAGGTGGGGTTCAAATGCATATCTTAATTATTTCATCTGAAATTTGTTGTCGCTTTGCATTATCTCAATGTCCTTGAAGGGAAAGCCTGTTAAGGGCATAGCAAATTAGCTTTATGTTAAAAAGTGTTCATTGAAAAAGAGAAGCTGGTATGGGATTTGAAAGTTGAAGTCACTGTCAATGTGGTTTGATGGTTAGGAGGGGTGGGGGGGGGGGGGGCTTTGCTTTTACTGCTGTTTCTGCTATTTAAGGGGAACCCTGATTGAAATACCTTAAGGTCTTTAATTTCCATAACACGTGTTATATAACAATATTGCTTTTAGAGTGCACCCTAGAAGTATCTCAGAATATGAATACTGAACAGCCTCAACGTTGAATTTAAAAAAAATTATCTTTGTGAGTCTTCAGGCTGCTCTATCTTGTGATAATATATTTTTTTCACACTATGAATGTATTAGTGTGAACAATATGTCTAATGATGATTTATGTCGGATAAGTTTGATGTTTCCCCAACCCGTAACACTTCATTTTGCTTAAGTACGTGAGTGTATGTGTGAGCATGGGTGTGTGTGTTTGTGTAAAGTGCATGTATGTCATTGTTGTTGTTGCCTCTCACTGTCAGATAAGTATGTCTGTCTGTCTGTTTGATAATAGTCACTGGCGTGTAGTGATGTTGGGGAACGATGCTTAAGTTCAAGAAACGTGTGAGCTACTTTTTGAAAATGCCAATCATTCCAGTTATTTGATACAGTTATGTCTGGGTCTTTTTTTTAATTTTATTTTTTTTATTTTATTTTTTAAAATATAATTTCTTGTTATAAAAATGGGATATAAACACTGTACATTTTTCTCCAGCAGACATTGGACACATATTGTGTTCTACGATTTTTCCCCTCTCCTGAAAAATGTTATTTGTGTGGCTTACTGGTTTCTTGATGTGGATTTGTTGTGTTGTGTTTGTGTAGTGTGTGTCGGTGTTCATAGTCATAAGATCAGCCCTTGTGGGTATTCCTTTCTGGTCTCTCTATGTCACAGGCTTGTCAATTTTGTGCTATTCCTTATTTTGCCCAGTTGTGAAGTGTTGAGAGTAAGGCCATCAGCTGTCTTTTGTGGTTTCAGTATAGATTGCTGGACCAAGGGGTGTGTAACTTATTGTAGGTGGTGGTTGAGTTCTTTAATGTGTGGACAATTCTACCTGGGTTTTGTTTCGGTGTTGCAGTTTTCCTGGTGAAATGCTCCTGTTGTAGATCCAAGCAGTGCTAAACTGCAACTCCAAAAAACGTCAAACGGACATAATGATTGAGATGTTGGGTTCTCGGGAAAAGTACTCTTTTTTTTTTTTTAACTTTTTGGCTTTGTCATTTCCACATGGTTTGTTATTATGAGACCTGCATGTCCCCCTGTTTGTATGTGATGTGAAGTGATCTTTTAGCAAATGCAGGTTCTTGAATGGTGTTCTGATATTCAACGTCAAGCCATGTCTGTGGGTCAGTGTTTAAGTGGGTGGTTACTGGGGGTAGGGGGGGTGGAATGTAATCAGTAACCCTAGCAAGAAAAAAAACAACAACAAAATAAAAAATAAATAGGGCATTGTATTGTGGAGACCAGCAATAGCCATGTTTGTAGTAACTGTATAGTGATATTGAGTATTGTGTGATGCTGATGTGACCTCTAAATACTAAATTATTTCACTGTACATGCCATTGTAATTCAAATCTCCCCCAAGTGGATCAGCAGAAGCAGGCGGGTGGTTGGAGGGCTTCTTCGGTACGCTCTACTTTATTATCCCTCTGTTATTTTTGTCTGTCTAGTCTTTTAACCTTTTTCTACCTAACTAAATAACAATTACTCAATTACTCAAACTAATTTTTTTTACGTTGACTCTGTGACGTGGGCACCTCATCATAGTGTTGTACAGTGATGAATGTTCGAGAGTTTGTACCCTGCTGTATATATGTTTGCTGTTTTGTGTGTATTTGTTCACATTACCTTATGTGTTTGGACTCCGCTTCAGTGTGAGTATTTTGTAAATCTCAAGTACCCAGTTAAAAGGATGCAGTCTTCCTGTGTGCATCGATTTTGGATGTGAATGTACTGTTTGAAGGAAATGTCGTCAATGCTGAGGTTTCTCACCCTCCAGGACGGACTTGTCAACGAAGACTCATCGTCAAACTAATTTTTAGAATCCATTATCATTTTTCGTTGATGTATTTGTACTTTTATTTCCTTTTGAAATAGTTTATATCCAAACTTCTTTATAATATTCCTTGAGCTGACCCTCATAATATTCCTTACTTATTTTGGTTTCGCATATATTTTTTTTCTTTTAATTTTCATCTGATGTGGGCTTTTATTTCCTTTGTATTTGGGTTCTATATATTATATTTGTGGTGCAGTTCAAATAGTACCACATTTTTCACACATTTTTACTTTTCTTGGGAAATGGGCTCCAGTTCAAATCTTTTGAGCAATTCTCCTTTGCACGGTGCACATTGACATATTTTGTTCACCAACTGCTCTCTTTTACTTGTAAAGATCTGCATGATTTTTCATTATCACTTAGTTTTCAAGGTTGCCACTTGTGGTTTTCTGCCCCCTTCTCTGCAGCTGTTTGAATGTTTCTGGTCTGAGTATTTATGTTAGGTCAGGAGGGTATCGTCTGGGCTGTCCTAGGTAAAGAATTATGTGTGTTGTGATGAGTAGGCTACATCGTCTCTTGTCCATTATTTTGATTTCTTTCAAAGTACGATAGAGAATATCTTGTCTCATGATGCCTTATGGAGTATGTCTAGATATTGTTTGAGGGCAGGTTATCTATATGGCGTATGTGTGTCTGTGTGTGTGTGTTTGTTTCTGGTGTGTTTATGTGTATGATGTATGTGTGTTTGTTTGTGGCATGTGTGTATGTGAATGTTTATGGTGTATGTGGTGGTGTTGTTCCAATCTGCTTCTGTAGTCAGAGTCCCTTTAAGTCGGTCACAACTTAACTCTCAAAATACCCTCAAAATTTTGAGTTATACAAATTTGTTTAAAGGAAAAAGGCTTAAAATGTTGCTGAATTGATGACCTGAGCAAATCATAAGTACCTCACAGTGTTCTTCCACGTCTTAAATGCATCGTGCATCTGTTTGCATGCGTGCACATGTGTGTTTGCTAGGTTGGTTGTGTGAGCTCTTGTGCAAGTGCATGTATGTACATGCTTGTGTGTGTGTGTATGTTTGAAAGTGAAGGAGAGAAGTAAGCTGAGACTTCTGTGTGTGAAAGAAAGAGAGAGAAAAAGAGAAGTAAGCTGAGATTTACATTTTATGTGGCTGAGCTGCTGTTTCTGTTCCTCCAATTCGCTTTCCCCTGTTGTTTCTAGTGTATCAGAGACCCCTGTGGCTTTTGTGGCCATGTTGTCTTGTTTCTTTTTGCACCTCCCACCCCGCCCCATGTACCCTGTACTTTATGTTCTCTTTTCAGATGCGGAGAACGGGATATCAATGGCACGTGTCAGTGACTCTTTTTTCTTTCTCCTTTTTTACTTACAGTTCTCGTTTCTATATCTTCAGGCATTCCTAACCACTCGGCATCGATACAGGTACTGTTTCACGTTTTATGCTCTGTATCTTATTAGAACTTGCCACTTGGTGAGCTTTTCAGCTAACAATGCTGTCTGGTGCCTTGTAGCAATTGTTGGGCGTTATCGCAGCATAAGCACGGGGTGTGTACCCACTTGCAATTAAACCTTTTCATTTCTTTTTTTTTTTCTCCCACCTTGGTGTAGCGTTCTGTGCATCTTGCTGAATATGGGCTTCTCACAACTCCTTTTCAGTTTTCGTAGTTATCAATCTAAAGTCAGTTAGCAAAACAGGAATAAGACTGACATTTTTTCAAGGAGTATTTGTTCACATTTTTGGGGTAAATGGGTAATTATTTTTTAGAGTAGACAAGTTGTTGGACATAATACTTATAAACATAGAGGGGTTTTTTTCGTCATTATATTCCCAACAGATAATGACTTGAATATGGAAAAAAAGAAATATTTGTTTCCGTTTTGTGATGGCAGTATTTGCTCTTTGTTTACATCAGCATGCCGTCAGTTTTAAGGGGGCTGTTATGATTTTAACTCGTTCATTACCATGCAACTTCAGAGTTAATCTTGGGATGATGTACATGTACGTTGATTGGATATGTAAATAATTTGTAACGATGGCCCAACATGTAATGATGGCTCAGAGAATACATAGTGAATGAATTGTTGGGTGGACATTGACTGACTGATCAGAGGTGGAAGGTCTCAGTGTGAGAGAGTCAGGGTCTGCCAGTTAGTCTTACCTCGAACATTTGTGTGGGCCTGTACTGACAACTGTGGTCATGATGACGGTGGTGGTTTGTGTTGTAGATGATATAACTTTCTATCTTCTTGGTCTGTGGTGTGAAGAGTTCTTCTCATGCTCTTAGTAGTTTTAGGTCAGATAGGATGCAAACCCTGCATTTTGTGATGTAGGTAGAGCAGTGTGGTTGGATTGTAGACCAGCATTTAATTTATAAAAAGGTTGGGGTGGTTGTGTGTTTGGGGATTTTATTTTTTGGGGGGAGGGGGGGTTGATTTTTGTTTGTTTTGTTTTTTCTTTTTTGTTTAAAGGACAATGTGTGGAACTTGAGAGAGAGAGGTGCATGACACATGCTGTGAGGTCATGCATGAAAGCATAAAGGGCTACGGGATATGGTTGGAGTAGTGAAATGTGATAGTGTTGCCTCGAGAGTTCAGCTGTAGGCTGTGGATTGTGTCTGTTGTTTTGTTTTGTTTGTCACATTCTGTTTGATCCAACTCTGTGTGACAAGTAGTACATGAGGTGTTCTCTCAGTCATTAACAATTGCAGACACACACATGCACCCACACAAACGCACATAGGCCCTACCCAGCCATGATCATGTGCATACACAGGCAGACATGTAGGCCTACTCATGCATTCATACACACACTTCTGGAGGCACACGTAATACACATTTAACGCACATTCACATTTAGTTTGAAACACTGTTTCTTTCGCTTTTTCACACATTACACATGCATACACACACACACACACACACACTAACACACACACACACACACACACACACACACACACACACACAAGTGTGCAAATACATACAAGCACTTGATCACACATGCATGTACACGTACCAACTCTTATTGTCATACGCCTTCTAATCTTCTGCACTTATGTGACCTTATTGTGTTGCAAGTACTGTAAAAACTCTTACTACAACTAAAAACACTGAACAGTCAATTCACACTCAGACACACACTTGGCGCTACTGTTCCCCTGCCATGGCTAGCCTGGCTCTGCTGTGGTGTTGTCACTGTTTGTGATCCAATGTTGTTGCAGCTTTAGCTGTCCTGACTGTCTCCCTTCTGTAGCCTGATTAGGTTGGGGGTGATAAGTGGGTGCCCTTACTACTTTACTACTTAACATCTAATAATCTTTTTGTTTTGTTCCCATCTCAATGTGTTTTATTTTGATGGAAGGAGTTTTTGTGCGGGGTTTTTTTGGTGGGGGGGGGGTTATTGTAACAATGCTGTTTAGAATGTTCAAATCTTACCTGTCCTGATAGTCTAATTTGGAATTTTGTGAACGTGGATTTTTAAAGTAGCTGTGGATCTGCACTTTTCTCCCACATGACATCACTGAGTTGAAGAGGGTGTGAAATTACACGGGTTGAGTCACACTTTTTGTTTGGTGTGTAATTCAATGAGTCTGAGCCACAGCCTGGGAATGCGGTGTGGTTGTTGCGAAAGTCTGTCCCGAAGCTCCATGTGTCACGCGGATATTCTCACGACGTACAATTAGGGTACGGGGGAAATGTGTTAGGGTTAGTGTTAAGGTGGAGGCTGTCTTGTGACCATAAAGGTTGTTATAACTGTAACAGAACATATGCTCTAAGCTCACGTTCGTCGAATCAAAAAGAATGAGTATTTTTGTCGTAAAATTTGGTCGTTGTATTTGACATTATTGTCGGGGTGATAAACAATGAGTTTTCTCTGGAGTTGTTTTGTGTTGGAAGGGGAGGGGGCTTCTTGTGTTAGTCTATCTCCATCTCCTGGTTGAAGGGAGATCAAAAGGGGTAAATATTTATGGCTGGGCGCAGTGCTTTCCCCTTTGACAGGCCACCAGCTGTTGTTGGGGGATGTGGGCTGGGATTAGTGTCACTCCTCCAGCACATGGCATTGTGGGAGCCGGTCTGTACTGTGGCCGGGCCAGACCACAGCTGTCAGTCAGACTGCCGGCTCATTAGTCAGTGTGTTGGGCACGTTATGGTTTATGTGTGTGTGTGTATACGTGTGTGTGTGTGTGAGTGAGGGGCTGGGGGCCGCTGGGGCACGCAAGGGCAACATGTGTGTGCTGCTGTGTGTTCAGGCGGGAGTAACTGGAAGAATATTGAAGAGTAGGCAATTAGAGAGGAGGGGGGGGGGATGAATAATTATGGTAGAGAGTATGAGGGAGGAATTCTTTAATTATTTTTTTTTCGGGGTGGTGGTTAATAATTTTTTTTTTAATGTGTATTGGGGGGGGGTTGTGTGCTGTGGACAGATTGTTATTAGTTGTGAATTAAAAGTGGGAGTGTAGATGATACAATGAGAGGAATTTGGGGGAGTTGTTGAGAAAAAGGGGATGGTGGACCCAAAAGAAATTTTGAAAAGGAGAAATAAGAAGTTGTAAATGTTGCATGTGCCTTACCCCGACAATGCAGTCGCTTAGAACATCCTCTCGTCAATTCTGTGCGCTCGCTCGCTCACTCATGGCTTGATGGCTTGTAGTGGAAGTGCTATAACCCGCTGCCTCTGTGGTTGTTGCATCTCATGTAGCCTACTGGGACAGGCAGAGAATCTGAGTTCAATTCCTATGGTGTGGTTTGCTCCTTCTTTCCTATCAAACATCTATCGTCCTTATCTCCCCTTCTTCTTTTTTATGTTTGTTACTCTCTTGTAACACCTCTAATCTT